CTTGGCATCTTTCTTGGCCTTAAGACAACAATTCTGATGCTAAAGATCCAAACGGGACACAAAATAAAAAATAAAAAAAATAAAAAAAATTTATTTTGCTCAAGTAAAAAAAACAACAAAAAACAGGTTTTAGATAAACATCATGTTGAACCTCATTACCTCATCATTAGTGTTCAGTGTCATCAGTGTAATCAATCATAATCATTAATGGTGGAACAAACAACACATAACTTGAATTTATTTATGTGTGATATCTTTAGGATTAGGATTCAACTTTATTGTCATTACACATGTATAAATACAGTGTAACGAAATACAGTTTGCATCTAATTAGAAGTGCAATAAGAGCAATTCTACAGTTAAGTTAAGCAAATATACAGATGTACTACGGCCTAATGTATGGATATACTGATATATACAGATAAGAGTAGTATACATGGGGCAATAGTTATGAACAGATTATGTACAGAGAGACCAAATATACAAATGAACTACAGACAAATGTACAGATGTACAGTACATATGTACAGATATACAGATGATCTGTATAGCATACAGATGTTCTATATTGCTATACAGATGGGCAGATATAGAGATGTACTATGAACAAATATACAGATTTGCTAAATATATACAGATGTGCTGGTGTGTGGTAACAGATCTACAGAGTCCTATGAGTATATCTACAGCAGTGGAAGCGTAGCGCTCTGAGCAGACTATAACAGGGAACAGTGTACGCACTATACCAGAGACTATACTATGTCAGTGTCCTAAACTATAGCAGTAAACAAGTAACCATTTATTGTAAAATAATTTTTTAAAAAAGAACGAACTGAATAATTTATGTATAGAAACAGAAGGCGTTCATTAAAACTTAAACATTTGAAAAATTAACTATAGAAAAATAAAAATACATCTCAGGGTTAAGAAATTGTTGTCTTTTCCATTAGTTTCTTCTTTAGTTGCATTTTACTTGATATGACACTTTAAACTGTATAGTAGACTGTATATATTAAGTAAGTAAGTAAGTAAGTAAAATTTTATTTATATAGCAACTTTCAAGATATAAAATCACAAAGTGCTTCACAACACCCAACAATGAAAAAATAACAAGCAAAATTAATAGAAAGCAGATTTAAAACATTTGTTTTTAACTCATTTTTTAAAGAGATCACAGAGTCTCAAATCGAAAGAAGGAAGAGAGAAAAGTTCCAGAGTCTGGAGGCCACTGAACAGGAGGCTCTGTCTCCGTTTGTTTTCAGCTGAGTATGGGGCCCCACACACACTCATTCACTCACTCAGGTCGTGTGCATGCAAATAAGAAAACGTTTGAATAGGCGCAGGTCACCACACTGTCACCTGAGTTTAGGTTTATGTAAAATCAGCATGTATTTTATTAGTTCATTTTCTTATTCAGCAGATATGATTTGCATAATACAATAAGCAGCCAGATAGAAAAAAATGTTGTTTATATATATTTATGCGTGTGTGTTTCAAAAGTCTGAATGCTTTCTGCATTCAGTTGCAACCAGGTGCAACTATGTGTCAGAGGTCAGTACTAGTTCGCTGGGCGTACAGTTAAAATGGTTTGCATATTCTTTAAGATTGTATGTAAAACATTATGTTACACTGCGTACACATGACACTGTCATAAATTTATAGACACTGTAGGATAAAAACTTTGGATAATCAAGTGCCCTGTCCTTTGTTAAACAGCAGCCTGTGTTTGGTATCTATTTGCATTAGTACCAGCCACCATCACTGCCACCACCCAGAGGCTGACAGTATTTAACTCCAACCCTCATTTTCAGGAGAAAGGTTCAGTCTACCTTCTACTTTGCTGTGAGAGCTGTCTCAAAGGAAGGATGGGTTTTTTTTTCATCACTGTTCAGGTTTATCAGTGTTCTCTTCTATGGACAGATCACTACTGACTTTAAACCATGCATTGAATTTTTCTACGCAGAAACGATACCACAGGGCATCAGTGGAGACGGCTACCAGGCATTATGTCAGTACTATGAAAGTCAATACCACTTTGCCACCCTGTATGACAGAAACCGTCGTATACCATTGTTCTCTGCGTATATACTCAGTCCTGGAGAGGGATCTAGGCCCACAAATACAAACTGGATGATTGAACCACGGGTAAGCTATGTAAAATATCACTGTGTGATGTTCAAAGACAGTCATGTATTTGAACTGCTCTCTTTTGACTGATACGGTATATTTTAAAGATGGTTTTCTTAGAGAGGATGAAGAACAATAGTTACAATGTGAAGGAATCGCTCGTTTGGATGTTAACTGTTTGTTGAAGTGTGTATTCTCTGCATTTTACTGCCACGTTGTTCTCCATCACCTCAAACAATATGCAACACATTTAAAGCAGTTATTTTCCTCCTGCCTGTCCTGCCTTAGATATTGTCATACTATACCACATATAATGTAATAACTTAAATAACACAAATATAACTGAATAAATAACAGGACAAGATAAAGAAGAAAACATACACAAAATTAGATGATCTTTAATAAAACGATGGTTAGAAAAGTCTGTAGGATTTTATTTGCTCTCTCACATTTCAAAATGACATGACTGTGCAGTATGACAGTAATCTCTCAGTGTTACACATTCCCACAAACTCACACTGAAAGACTATTTGCACACACAGTATGACGAATGATAAATAATCTTTGTAGCTTCTAAAGAAATAAAAAGTCTGTCTTTGTTGTCATTCAGCTGGTATCAGACGAATTCAACACAGGAATGAAGTACCAAGGAGATCCTGACCAAAATGTGAAGAACAGCCAGGCAGTCAATGAAGACTATAAACACTCTGGTTATACGAGAGGCCACCTCGCCCCCAGTGGTCACCAACAGACAGAAGAAGACAAAAAGGCTACCTTCACCCTGACAAATATTGTTCCTCAAATGGAAAAGTTCAATAACGGCCCCTGGAAAAATCTGGAAGAAAGGATGGCAGAAAGACTTAAAGTCTGCACATCAAAAATGTATGTTATCACTGGAGTCATGCCTTATAAGGAAGATGAACCCAAGATCAATAACAGGGTGACTGTTCCTGAGTACTTTTGGACTGCTTACTGCTGCCCAACGCTCACAGCTGGACTGCAGAATTACTTTCCTACTTTTGCTGCAGTGGGAAGAAATGATCCCAACAGTAAAGATGACATTGTGAAAAAAAACACAGAAGATGGCCATGATGTGATGGAGATGTCCTTGGAGGACCTGGAGAAGAACCTGCAAAAAAGGCTAAAGATGCCTAAAATGAGTCTCTTTAAAAATGAATGTAAGGAATAAAAGTCTTTTTTCCTTTTGGTTGAACTAAAAAAATCAAATACTTGTCACTAAAATGTTTTAAGATAAAAGTGAAATAAATGAAATGAAATAAACAATAATAAATAGAACTGTAATGTTTTTATCATTAAGTTAAGACAAAACTATATTTTAGAAACATAACATATCTGAGTTTCTTCAAAAAAATGAAAACATCGTACAGCCTTGTGCTGCACGACGGGTTAAATAATACATTTGTAAAAAACTACCTATTTTCCTTTATTTTCATAAAGTATAATATTTTATTATATTTTTCACATTATATGGAGATGAAGTGATTAAATTTTGGTGGTGAAAGAATGCTCTTTGGAGGGTTTACATTTAATAAATATTCAAAAGGATAATTTAATGAGATGATGATGCTTACAGCCAGGGGCGATTTTAGCCCATTTTTGGTGCTTCAGCACCCCTAAAGATTTCTTACTTTTTTGACAATATTTGCTGTTTGTGGGACACACTACTAAAATATAAAAAGCATACAGTACGTAATTGAGATGGAACATTTTAACAACAGAAATAGATAACCCCCACCCCCCCTCCCAAAATGGTTTGTTCCAGCTCTTCTCTACTCTGGCTCTGGTGCCCGAGACGCAGCGGAGCGGAGGTGGAAGCTCCTGCCTTAAAAGAGGACATATTAGCTCCATTTATGGGCTCAAAATGTGGTCATAAATATTTTGTACTTGTAAATCGGTTTTGTATGTGTAAAAAAAAATTGTGTGTGTGTAAAAAAAATTTGTGTGTGGACTTAGCCAAAAAAAACCCTGCAAGTTACAAGTACGAATTTTGACCCTATTTTTCTTCCTTTCATCTGATTGGTCAATGTCATGTCAATCACAAACGTAACAATCCAATCAGAGAACAGATGGGTTTGGCTGTCGGACAGATGTCAGTTTGGCTTATATTTTATAATTTATATTTTATTGTGTTGTGGTTTGCAGTGTTTTGTGCTGTTTCACTTTCATTTGTTTAAAAGGAAAAAGCTGAAAATTTAAGTAGTTAAAAGTTGAAATGTGTTTTTGTATTTTAGAATTTATTTATTACATTTTATGTGGAGTGAATACATAAAAGTATATTTACAGTGTCCCTTAGAGACAAAGCACGTACAAACTCCAAAACACAACGGAAGTGCTCCAGGATGCTAGGGGCTGTGTTGAGCTTTTGTTACCTCGTGGCTACACAAGCCAGGAAGTACCAACAATCGGATTGGGGGTGTGGTAGTAACAGATTAATGAAGTTTTTTTTTATTATTTGAATATATATATATATATGAGTGTTTGTGTATTAATACAAAAACAATAGACATGCTTTCGATTGTGTAATTTAAGTGATCTAGCTAGCTCTGTTTTGGAAGTTCAGTTAACACTAGAAATGTGTTTTGGAGTTTGTACATGCTTCGGAATTTCTAAGTGCTTTGGAGTCTCTAGGGGCCCCCATAAATATTTATATATAAACATACAGTACATAAAGAAAACCACGTTTTGTTTACATTACTAATTCCTTTTGTGCATAATTTTATATTGTTGTTGATAATTAATTACAGCAACAAAACAACCTGAAGAGCCGGTTCGGAGCCGAAAGATCCGGTTCTTTTTAGTGAGCCGAGCCGAAAGAGCCAGTTCTCTAAAAAGAGCCGTAAATCCCATCACTAATACTTTCCCTATTTCAGTAGTGGCTGGGCCGGAGAGAAGGGAGGAGCGGCTACAGCGGAGGGTTGGAGCAGAGTGCACTGCAAAGTGCCGAACCTCAAAGTTAAAAAAGCTAAAATTGACCATCCTGAGTCTTGTCAGATCCTTCAGGGTTACAGTCACAAGCCCAGAGTTCTTTTTTATCATTTTCAATTCTGTGATTAACTTAAACCCCCGGAGAGCAGCCATTTGGCTTTTCTACCTTTACAACCCGGAGAGTTGCCAAATGGCTTTTAGCTA